CACGGCAGTCAGCGCCGCGCCGGTGCGCCTTCAGAGCCGTGAGAGCTAACGTGGCGAGACGCCGAGCGTCTCTCGGATGGCGGCGGCAAGAGCTGCGCGAACAGTTACAACCCCAGACATATTCCCTCCCCGTCCCCGTGGTGGTGACGGCAGGGTAAAAAGCGTGCGTGTGTAGGAATAATCAGAATTACCCCGCGCAATAGGTAACCCAGTGGCAATGGGAGCGTCCCCCTGCCTTGGCTCGGCGCTGGAGGTGCTCTGCTGAAGTGCCTACCGTGCTCCACTCGCGGAGCAGTAACTTCGTTTCTTTCACCCGTTACACACCCCTGTGTACGCAGCAACGCTGTTTTCAGCCAATTCCTTCTCCTGTAATTGGTTCTCGCTTAGTAAGTCCCGAGAGAATAGCAGCAAAATTGCATATTGTTTAACAAAACAGGGTGGGATTGCTGCTGGGTTATTAGCAGTGACGCTTTGCTGTTTGCTTAATAAGAAAGCAGCGTTTTCCCCAGCTTGCAAAGAACTCTAAAGGGATCCCGTTGAACTAGTTCTTTGTCCTGCCCTCTTCCGAGCCCGATTGATACCTTTTCCTGGGGCGGTAGACCCAGACGGCCCAGGCAAATACACACAGTGTTTCTTGGGTTTTGTTTTCTTTTGTGTATTTCAAATATTTATATACTTCCTATCTGGCTATCTTGACATCTGATTATTTAGGACCAAGGAAAGAATTTTGGCTTTCCTCAGGTTTTTTTTGTGGCCAGTGGCACTATATGCTGAGGTGCCGGACCTGAAAAGGTATTTGTAGGGAGCCCAGTGTTCCCATACCATGTTAAACACCCGGCGGCAAGAGTGGAAGTTGCATGCCTGTCATCTGCTTCCGTTTCGTATATGGTCAAGGATAAATTAGAATTTAGGAAAGGAGTTCCCAGTAGCTCTGTGCCAGGTGTTGGGGGTTTTGTTCTGAACAAAATATTAAATTTCCCTCCTCTCCGCTGCATTTCCTGCTTCTGTCACAATGAGATGCCAGTGGGAGATTGGGGTTGAATAATTTAAATTATGCGTTTTGCATTATCCTTCTGCTGTTCGAGTATCTTCATTGTTTGGAGATCTGGTATCCTTGGTGTCTCTTTCCCTGGTCCTGGATGCGCATCCATCCACAGCCCAGCCTGCTGTCCTTTGGGATGCTTGCTCTGCTTGCCAGAACCTCCGCTAGGCCTGCTCAGCACACCAATTCGGCAGAAGACTAATCGCCTTTTTGAGGGGTTGTTACTGGGTTAACGCTGTTGATTCCTGTAGAGGCTTTTCAGACTTTGAGATGTAGTGCAAAGTAAGTAGCAGGGAAGTGGAGTCGGGGAATTGAAGTAGCCAGAGGAAGGTAAACACATGGTTTATGACAACAGCACTGTCGGACCAATTTATGCAGTCATCTGTAGAATCAGTCAAAATAACTGGGTATTTTAACAGTGCATTTTGTATAATTTTAAATAATTGAAAATCCTGTGTTTTAACACACAAATTTAAAACAATTTTTGGAATAGATTTTATCATTTCTTAAAATACTATTGTCTTCCTGTCTTTCAGGCTGAAGGTGGCCCATTGTAAGGGTTAATCATCTGTCAAATATTTAATAATCATTTGTTCAGAAAATTTCCTGCATTGTTCATGGTAAGGCTTATATTTGATATTTCACATTTAGTTTGTTATGCTGACACATTTAGAATATTTCTTATACATTTTTTAGTATTGGCATATTCTTTAGCTAGAGGAATGACTTCTACTGCAGTTGGATCATACATTTACTGGGAATTGCAACTTTGCAGAGAAAGTTTCCAGTTTGGGGTAACTGAATCAATAAATATTTGAATAAATTAATATATTGCTACAAAAAAGTATCCTTTATAAATCACTGTGTGTCCTGTACAGTGTATAACCTAGGGAAAGACATACATTTATGTATTCATAATTTTAAAAGAAGTTTAAGAGTAATGCTTTTATAATCTGAAAGTCATATTAAGCAAAAAAATTTATTTGGCAATTCTTTTAGTGTGTAAATGACATCGGCTGTTGGGATTTTATGACTTAGACTACTTAATAAAAATTACAAAACTTTCCCTTGTTATTTTACAGGAGTTTTTCATCAGTATGTCTGAAACCATTAAATATAATGACAACGATCACAAAACTGTGTTCCTGAAAACATTAAATGAACAACGTTTGGAAGGAGAATTTTGTGACATAGCTATCGTGGTTGAAGATGTTAAATTCAGAGCACATAGGTGCGTGCTTGCTGCCTGCAGTACCTACTTCAAAAAGCTTTTCAAAAAACTGGAAGTTGATAGTTCATCGGTAATAGAAATAGATTTTCTTCGTTCTGATATTTTTGAGGAAGTTCTCAATTACATGTATACTGCGAAGATTTCTGTTAAGAAGGAGGATGTAAATTTGATGATGTCTTCAGGCCAGATCCTTGGTATTCGATTTCTGGATAAACTCTGCTCTCAAAAACGTGATGTATCTAGTCCTGAAGAAACCACGCAGTCCAAGAGCAAGTACTGTCTAAAAATAAACCGTCCTATGGGGGAACCCAACGATACCCAAGATGATGAGGTGGAAGAAATTGGTGATCACGATGATAGTCCATCAGATGTGACGGTGGAAGGAACTCCCCCAAGTCAGGAAGATGGAAAATCACCTACCACTACCCTGAGAGTGCAAGAGGCGATTCTGAAAGAGTTGGGAAGTGAAGAGGTTCGAAAAGTAAACTGCTATGGCCAAGAAGTAGAGCCTATGGAAACAACCGAATCAAAAGACTTAGGATCTCAGACCCCTCAGGCTTTGACTTTTAATGATGGCATAAGTGAAGTGAAAGACGAGCAGACACCAGGCTGGACCACAGCAGCCGGGGATATGAAGTTTGAGTATTTGCTTTACGGTCACAGGGAACACATTGTATGTCAGGCTTGTGGTAAGACCTTTTCTGATGAAGCGCGATTGAGGAAACACGAAAAGCTACACACTGCTGATAGACCGTTTGTTTGTGAAATGTGTACAAAGGGCTTTACCACGCAAGCTCATTTGAAAGAGCACTTGAAAATACACACAGGTTACAAGCCTTACAGTTGCGAGGTATGCGGAAAGTCTTTTATTCGTGCACCAGATCTAAAAAAGCATGAAAGAGTTCACAGTAATGAGAGGCCATTTGCATGCCATATGTGTGATAAAGCTTTCAAGCACAAGTCCCACCTCAAAGACCATGAAAGAAGACACCGAGGAGAGAAACCTTTTGTCTGCAGTTCCTGCACTAAGGCATTTGCTAAAGCATCTGATCTAAAAAGGCATGAGAACAATATGCACAGTGAAAGAAAACAAGTTACTACAGCCAATTCTATCCAGAGTGAAACAGAACAGTTACAGGCAGCAGCTATGGCTGCTGAAGCGGAGCAGCAATTAGAAACTATAGCTTGTAGTTAAAAACTAAAGCAGAAACTTTATCAGAAATAATATAAGAAATTAAATTGAACAAAATCTATTGTTGGTATACGTTTAGACTGAGAATTATCTTTTCAAGAAAACATATTTTTAGAGGATTTGAATGCTACATAGGAACACATAGCATTGCTTGGTTAGGTATTTTAAAACATTTCAGAGATGGGTATTCTTAGAATATGAAACAGTTTTGTTGTCATTAGCAGTGTAATGCACTAATACCTGATTTAATTTGAGAATATGATCAAGTTCTCTATAAAACAGGGATCATCACCGGCTGATGTTTTGTTTCATCCAGTATGGAATACTTGCATACGATGTAGACATCGAAATCAGTGAGTTATGTTTTAAAAACACTGAGATCTCAGAAAATAACAACCATGGAAAGGAAATACTTGTTTTTCATAATTTTGAAAGTGTTATACCTACAGTTTTTGAGAAACAGACGTTGATTCCCTAAGCTTTTTAATTCCTCCTTTTTTCACCTGATGTAGGTGCTAGAGGTTGGTACAACAGAGTGTAAGGGGGCACGGTGATCAAAATGAAATTGCTTCTTATTCCATTCCCTCAGATATCCTCTTATTTTAATCAAGGTGGCAAGTTTAATGAAATACTTGCTTTCCTGAAAAAACTGCGTTATTCACAGTGGTCCTCGCTGGCAATGCAGAAGGGTTGTGGCATTCACCAGTCCCTTCTGTGGGCAAACGGGTCTGCCTCGTTTGTTTCTACGTTCACTCTTACGCAGGCCCCTGGAGATGGGAGAGAGCCACAAAGGAAAAAGGGTGCAGCACGGAGAAGGAGATATTTTCCTTACTCGGACCCAGCAGAAATTAGTTAAAGCTAATACAGCCTGAGGCTGTAGTTTTTTCAGTTCACCTAACCTAGCACGGTTAAGGCAAAGGAGTGTTTCTGGCAGCACAGGAGGATTAGCTGCACTGGCGAGTGGCCGGGTGTCACTGCCAGACCTCCGGAGCTGCAGAGCACAGCCATGGGCTATCGCATACCTGCCCGCAGTGTTCAGCCTGGGTTTTGTGTCGTGGCTGGTCACACCAGCTAATAGGTCCTGTTCAAGTTTAAAAACTTCCGCCTTCTGACACACCACCTGTCGGCAAGAGGGAGACTTCAGTGAGTGATTTCAGTCATAATTGATCCAGAATCAGTGTTCACGAATAGTCTGTTACTTAGAGTTGCCTATTTTTTTTTTCAGACAAGCTGGGGCAGATGCTGCTAATTTAACTGTTAACTCACAGAGTCAACAAAATACGTGGTCTTTGGATTGCAGTCTGCTACGTGTAGTCAACAAGAGAAGACACAATAATAGTGGTAATGTAATCCAAAGGGATATTGAGCCTTTATTTTAAATTTGTAAATACTACAACTGTTGTCAAAACTTCATTTGAAGTTGGAATGGGAAAAAAACCGCACTCTTGGGCACGTGGTTGGATAACATTGGTCACTTGCGATACCTATAGCATATGAAAGTGTTAGACCAGTTTCTGGTAAGTTACTGTGTGGTAGATCACATCTTGCTTTTCTAAATAGAAATTGAAAATAGCGTTTTTGGAACTGTTATATGGAACTTTGATTATTGTTTTTTTGTTTGGTTGGGTTTTTTTACAGCTTTATTTTATTCATGTACTCATCAGGTTAAGCAGTTGTCTTAAAATGCCAATAATTGTTTGAAAGCTGGTCTGTAAATAAAACATGAACTTAATATTTTAGCAAATGTAAACTTTGGACCTTTACCAATATATTTTTTTAAAATGTGCTTCATTTTACATTCAGTAATATCAGTTTGTAAACAAACTATACATTTTGTATCTGTGCAACATCAGAGGATGTGTATTCATTGCATTTTATTGGTTCTCTTGAGGAACATGATAAATGACCATTGTTAAAATGTTTTACTGTATATGATCATAGATATAAAGATAGTAGGTCCAAAATGGGATCTACTTTTTTTTTCTAAATATATTAGTCTTGCTATGTTTTCTTATCTAGAATTGTGTTCACTTTTTCTTAGATGATAAAATTGGGGTTGATAAGTCTGTACAAAACAGATCCGTTGTGATAAGAGTTCAAAAGCGTAAAAGATGAAGAAAGTAAATTTTCTCTAGGTCTCCTATGAAGAGTGCAAGAAGTAATGAGCTTAAATTACAGCAGTGAACATTTACATTAGACATTAGGAAAAACTTTTGAAGGGTTGAATAATGAAGTATTAGAACAGAATGCCTGGGGAGGCACTGCAATCTCCACTAGTGGCGATATTCAAGAATCCTAACATCTGTTAGGAATGGTTTAAATATAGTTAATTCTGCCTTGGAGCTGAGGGATAAGCTAAATAACCTCTCCAGAAGAGCCTCATTGGTTTTTTTGGAAAGTAATAAATGAAAATGGAGCTCACTGGGACAGCAGACGCTTGAACGGAAAGACAGAGCTCAAGGCTTACAGTTAGAGAATTGCGCTCTGACATTTGAGCACAAACGGTCAGGCTGTGAATTTGAAATTGTTACAGAAAAGCGGGCTTGCATTGAAAGACACAAAACTGAAAGTGTGATAGCTGTGTTTTACATCAGAGTAAATTCTGCTATGTTAAAGCTTAGAGCTGTAAGAGTTATACAAGGTTACAGCTATAAGGGTTGCATGGTGTTTGCAGGTTTTTAAAACTGGCACAGATTGATATTATACATACTCCTATACAAAAGTGTGCAGAGGCAGGAACAAATGCTATTGTTGCACGTTCCCTGGACAGGCATAAACACCTTACATGAGACTTGGTCTTAACAGTCTGTCATGGGAACAAATTCAGTGTAACCAGTGGAGTTGCTCCCATGTCAAAGGTTTTGAAATGGGCCTCGGCCTCTTGCTAGTTTTTAGCTGCTTAAGAGTCAGAAGGCTGCTGTATGTTCCTGAGAACAACGACTACAATACTGATCAAGAAGGCAAAGACTCAGTTATTTTTGTGAAGTTGAGAATTTTATTGGCAATTTCTACTACCGCTATCTGTTTTGAGGATGTGAACTCACCTTATTTCTTCTTTTTTTGAAAGCCAATAGATAATTTTTTCTGCCCTTCCCAATTGTTTTTATTCAAGACGGGGAGAAGGCCTAGAATACTTAAGCTTAAAGTTTTGGAAAAGGTTTCAGAAAGGCAGTGTGGAGGTAACCTTAGCTGTACATTATTGTTAACGTGTTCTAAATTAATCCTGTTCATTGTGCACATTCTGAGGGGATGTTAGCATATACGTTATGGGGGTCTGTCTGTGAAGTTCAGGTAAACCTGTCTGCATCTTAAGACGCCACTGCTCCCAGCTCTCTCCTGTCTGTGCTGGAAGATGCCATGTACAGAAGCAGGAGTTGTCAGCTCCAAGCCACAGAGGTTTTCCAGCTTGATAAACCATAAGCTACGAGCTGTGTTGATCGAGGAATGGGCAAATTTTTATTTTTGCTTTTACAAGGATGGCAACTTCTTTCAGAGCTTATGAGACAGTGGGTGAGATTCTGTCCAATTAATGGGAATTTTGCTGTTGACTTTATTGGGGCCAGACTAGCCTAATATTCCTAACAAGGTTTCCAACAGCGGGCAAATTAGCTAATTGGTGTGCGTGCAGGAATGACAGAATGCTACAGAAACATAGATGGCTAAAATAACATCAGATATGAATTATTTTTCTCAGAATTAAGTAGCAAGAATATCATGCATGGAATTAGTCCTAAACGTACACTTCTCCGTCTACGGTTTGTGAAATAGGAGTCAGTTACGTCTTTAATATACATAGGATAGCAAAAACTCGGTTACTTTTTTGGCTTATACTGAACGTCTGTCCATGTTACGATGTTAGGTGACTAAGCGGCTTCAGTGGAACTCTCCGTGTATTGGCATTAGGTATATGAACGGGTGTTTGTGTGACCAGAGCTTACATGTATATAATGCAGCAACATGTCACTTGATGTGAAATGAGGTTCTTCTGGTGACCCAAATGGGCCTATATGGTCAACACCAGTTGAGATGCCAAACCAAAGCCTTCTCAGATGCAAAAAGGTCTAAATATTAAGGAAGTATAACCATTTAGTTGAAAGGCTTTGTGTTTTAAAAGGCTAAATAACTTAGAGTGAAAAGAAATATTTGAAATAAGAACTTCGCTGTTTTGTGATCTTAACTGTGTGTTCTTAAAAATAAGGTGATTTTTTTGTAAAGGGAAAAAGGAACAAAGAGAACACATTTTGAACTCTGGTATCTGATTAATTTCTGATCCAAATGGTGTTAGCCATGGGTATGCTGCTGGTTATTTGGCACAACTCAGTTTGGAAACTGCAGAAGTTCAGGAAAGAATACCTTCTAGCCCTTCTCCACTCCCCACCCCCTCTTCTGCACACCCTTCTTATCAATATTTAAACAAATACTAGAAGATGAAGCAATTCACAGTTGAGTACTTCTGTTTTCATTTTTCTGCTCTAACCTTTGAAAAAGGTTTAGGCCTGGAGATCAGAGTTTTAAAGGTTGTTGTGTGAAAGAAAATGCTGACTTAAGTAGCAAGATTTTGAGGAGTTCAGCTTCTATTTCATGTAAGCAGCAGACTACTAAATACTCCTCAAAATCTTGCCATTTAGGTACCCAAACTGGAGTTCTTTTGAAGATCAGGCCCTAATTTTCTAATCTAGAGATTGCGTTTGTGATTCCAGTGAGTAAGGATATTTAAATTAATAGTTGGGTGAGATATAGAATAAAATATCAGATGATACCAGCAAGTCTACCCTGAGCGTAGAGTATATTTTTAGGGACAGATTATCTGTTCTTAAGTCTTTTATCAATTTAGACACCTCTGTCTTACAGAAGAGACAAAGCATTTCTGAAACAAAGTACATCTACCGCTAACAACATCCGACTTTTCCGAATGTAAACATTTACACATCAGTACAGAGTAGGATAATTCTACCTAGAAGGTAAAGACAGACCTAAGGAATTTTGATCTCTTTCAAACAGCTAATCCATA